GTCTCCGCCCCTCACTATGTAACAGGCACATCAAGACAAAAAAATGGCCCAAAGGAAAGAACAGATCAAAGCTCCAGAAAAAATACAACTAAGCAACAAAGAGATATCCAACCTATCAAATGCACAGTTCAAAACACTGGTAATCAGGATGTTCACAGAATTGGTTGAATTTGGTTGCAAATTAGATGAAAAAATGAAGGCTACACTAAGTGAAATGAAGGAAAAGAATGAAGAAACAAGAATTCAAAAAAATATCGAGAGACTTAGGAACCTCCAGGACATCTTTAAACGTTCCAACATGCTAATCATAGGTGTACCAGAACAGGAAGAGCAAGAAATGGAAAACTTATTTGAACAAATAATGGAGAAGAACTTCCCCAATTTGGCAAAGGAAATAGACTTCAGGGAAGTCCAGGAAGCTCAGAGAATCCCAAAGAAGGCAGACCCAGAGAGGACCACACCAAGGCACATCATAATGACATTAGCCAAGATTAAAATGAAGGAGAAAATCCGAGAAGCAGCAAGAGATAAGGAGGCAGTTATCTACAAAAGAGTTCCCATCAGACTGTCAGCTGATTTCTCAAAAGAGACCTTAAAGGCAAGAAGGAACTGGAAAGAAGTATTCAAAGTCATGAAAGGCAAGGACCTACAACCAAGGTTGCTCTATCCAGCAAAGCTTTCATTTAGAATGGAAGGGTAGATAAAGTGCTTCTCAGATAAAGTCAAGTTAAAGGAGTTCATCGTCACCAATACCTTATATTACATGAAATGATAAAGGGACTTACCTAAGAAAAAGGAGATCAAAAACATGTACAGTAAAATGACAGCAAACTCACAATTATTAACAACCACACCTAAAACAAAAACAAAAACAAACTAAGCAAACAACTAGAACAGGAACAGAACCACAGAAATGGAGATCATATGAAGGGTTAGCAACGGGGAAGTGGGAGAAAGAAAGAGGGGAAAAGGTACAGAATATAAGTAGCATAGATGGTAGGTAGAAAATAGGGGAAGGGTAAGAATACTATGGGAAATGTAAGCTAAAGAACTTAAAAGTACGACACATGGACATGAACTAAGGGGGGAGAATGTGGGTGGGAGCAGGTATGCAGGGTGGAGGGGAGTGAAGGGGGAGAAATGGGACCACTGTAATACCATAATCAATATATATTTTTTAAAAGCATAAAAAAATTTAAAACAAAGGTACTTCAAACTCAATTTGACCAAAGCAGAATTATTTAACTTACTTCTTGTCGCTCTACAGCCTACTCCATCTCAGAAAATGAAATTGCCCTCCAACATCTCAAATAAAGACCCTGGGAGTCATCTTTGATTTCTCCTTTACTCTGATCCTCAATTTTACAATTCATTACAATTCTATTAGCTCTACATCCAAATATATCTTGAATCTATACACTCTTCTTCCCTAATTTCCAATGCTACTCCTATCCTAACACTGTATTTTTAACCCCTATAATATTCTAACTCATGTTCCCACTTTTACTCTTGCTCTTCTCTAGTTCATTCCACTCTGAGTAGTGATTTTTTAAAAAGATAAATTAAAGAGATTAAAGATACCCCTTTGCCCCAAACTCAATGACTTCCCACTTCTCGAAATAAAAATTCATGACCTTGTATGATAAATCTGCTGCTTCTCTGTCATATCACCCTCTCCTTCACTTGCTATATTTCACCCACAATGACCTTTTTAACAAATGGAATCATGTATTATCATCTTAGAACTTTACATGCATCCTCCTCTCTGAAGTGCCCCATAGTTAAGGTGTTACCTTAACTCAGGTGTCACCTCTTCAGAAGGCCTTTCCTGACTTTAAACCCATGTAAAATCGCTTTTTCATTCTTTCACTGTTCTATATGAATATTTCTTCCACAGCTTTAATCATATGACTGCCATCTTTTTTAATTAACAAATATGTTCTAGATACAAGAAATACGATGGTGAAAAAACAAAGTTCATTGCCTTCATGCAGCTTATTTTTTGTAGGACTGAAAACATTAAAATATAAATTCGTGTGATAAATGCTATATGAAAAATAACACAGTAAAAGGGAATACCATGTGTTTGTATGTGTATGTGGCAGTGTGACACTTTAAGCAGGTTGTCAGGTCTGAGCAGACCTGAAAAAAGAAGGAAACTATGTGAAAACTTTGGGTCAGATTATTCTAAATGGACTGATTTTTAGCTATTAAGAGTCCTTCCCACTAAAATAAATATAACTTCTATGAAGGCAAGGGCCTTAACTATCTTATGCACTGCTAGAGTCACCTTGGTACAGGGTCAAAGTAGGCTGCTATAAATATTTCATGAGTGAACGAAAACATGTACCAGTTTTTCAAATAGTCTACTGGAGCTTAAAGAAAGTATACTATGAAGATATTTGGCCTATGAAGAAATATTTTGAACATGTTTAAACATGGTAATACAAAATGTATGGCAAGTAACAATGGAGCATTTTCTCATTACATGTAAAGAACCAAAAATTAAACAAAAAAATATAAAATTAGTAATTATTGAATTTACTTTTAAAAATTCAGTAAAATATGTGAAAATCATTTTCTCATAAATGAAATCCTTGTATTCCCTTATGCTCATATTCTAAACTGTTGGGAACCACCCTGTCTGGTTTCAGTAGCTGTAACCCTACCATGGAAGAAATATTTTGAACATGTTTAAACATGGTAATACAAAATGTATGGCAAGTAACAATGGAGCATTTTCTCATTACATGTAAAGAACCAAAAATTAAACAAAAAAATATAAAATTAGTAATTATTGAATTTACTTTTAAAAATTCAGTAAAATATGTGAAAATCATTTTCTCATAAATGAAATCCTTGTATTCCCTTATGCTCATATTCTAAACTGTTGGGAACCACCCTGTCTGGTTTCAGTAGCTGTAACCCTACCATGGCTAAGGCTGAGTAAAAAGATCTTGGGACCATAAGCCATTAAGGAGACAAAGCTTATCTCACTGGCAGGGGCACAGCCTCTACCCCCTTTACTTCACCCTGCTTGGCCCTGGGTGGATGACTGGTTAGCCAATGACAGCTAAGATTCCTCAAGGGAGAGATGACCTAAGACAGGCATGGTCACAAAGGGGCCCTCAGGGAAGGACTTGGGGGGGGGGGCTATAGCAAAAGGGAGTGATGGACCTTCACCCATCAGCTTTGGCATAGCCTGAGTCCTCATTCTGCCTGTAAGAAGTCTCCTAATCTTCTGGTTGCCAGCATCCCCCACCTCACTTAAGCCTGAAACAATGTGGGAGGGTGATGTAGTCTTGGGCAGGAACAGGCAGTTCCCTGGGGCTTTCATGCCTAAGCAAGAAGACATAAAATTCTGTGAAATCTGTGGTGCTAAGAATGCTATCGATTAAATGATAAGGGTCTGAACAGGAAATGAGTTTGTTGGCCAAAGTTTTGTAGCCCTTTAGCTAACTGACCCTGATTCAGAATAAGCCCTCATAGTTCTCTGCACATTGTCTATTGTTTGATCCTTGCTGCCTGACAATGATTGATGAGCTTTACCTGTATTCCCATGCAAATTGAACCCAATAAAAGCCTATGGAAGAAAAGGCTTCTGGCCCTTCTATGAGAAATGGGCTACCTTTCCTCCCCAAGCAGATCATGTCTTGATAGACTTATTCTAATCTGTGGCAGACAGAGGGGCTCTGCAGACAAAGCTCCCCCACACTAAACAACTTACCATTTGCTTTTTTTATGAGAATGATGGAGACATAAAAAACTCAAATTCATCACACCTGGACATTCACAGATGCTTAAGTTAGAATAAAATAAAGTAACAGCTTGAAATTCACATCAGTCCTGTGTCTTTTGGCTTTATTTGTGCTCTTTCTATCCTATGTTCATCTAGTCAAAACTTAAACTGAATCAGAAGGATTCAAAGAAGACCTAGCCTGGTAGTTCAGTTGGTTAGAGCATTGCCCGGATACACACCAAGGTTGCGGGGTTCAAGTCCAGGTCAAGGCACATACAAGAATCAATCAATGAATGCGTAAGTGGAACAACAAATTGCTCTCTTTCTCTGTTAATTTTTTTTTAAAGCATATGGAAGCCTGAAACTTACCACAGTACAAAAGCACAATCATCTGCTTACGGAATATAATAAGTATCAGTAAGCCATCTTTTTTGAGGTTTCAAAACCTAAACAAAAAATGATGCACATAGCACCACCTGTAACACAAGCTGTACAATATTGTTACCGATTACCGCCATTCCCAACAATAATCAAGGCAGAACTTTTCTTAAGACTAGTTATGTTTAACTTGCCCTCACAGGTGAACAAAAATGCAACCATCCAAACTTGTCTATTAGCTTTGGTGACTGTCCCAAAATTGAGTTTCTTAATCACTTTCTTTTTTCTGATAAATTATTTTGTAAAATATGCTTAGCAAAACACATTTTATTGAATATCAGACAAGGCCAGGCCTAATGTGAACCATGACTGTAAAAGGAAGCCCGCAGCTCTGCGAAAGAAAAGGACTGGGAGGTATAAACCTGACCCAGTAGAAGTACCTCTCCCATCCTGCTTAGACTGGCCCCCAATTTCACCCAACTGCAGCCACGTGAAACTTCCCATGAACACCCAACAAGACCTGAAGGCAAATGCTCTCCTCCTTAGGCCACCACCAAAAATATTAATTAAATAAAATAAATCCCAAAATGTTGGATTTACGCATGCACTCCCACAGGATGCCCCCCTAACCCGGTTCGCAGCCCAGTCTAGGGAACCTCCCGCCGGCCCCGGGCCAGACCAAGACCCTCGCACCCACGGACTCGAACCCAGCGCTCGCACGGCGCGTTCCCTCCCCGCCACAGCGCGGGCAGCCCCCGCCCCCCGCACCTCCACCGCCCCCGAACCTACTCAGTGCTAATAACCGAATATCCGGGTATCGGGAGGGGGGGGGCATTTTCCTGTTTTCCCCTGCGCACCCAGGCAGGGGAAGATATAGAAGTACCTTCCAGAAAAGTAATTTCCCCTTTGCTGCCGCCGCTCTTGCCAGCCGCCATCTTCCTCCTCCCACGCCGCCTCCTCCTTAATCCATGGCCTACGCAGCCACCGCGCTCGCCGGGAAGAGGGGCCGGGCCGCAGAAGTCTAACCGCCTCAGGGTTGCGGGCCTAGGACTCAGCCGACAGGCGGGCGGCGCTCCCAGGTCCAGACGGGCAGACACAAAGAAGGCCAGACGCCCCAGTCCTATCGGGATTCTCCTCAAGCCCCTCCGGGGCAATGAGGGCGGCGGCGCTTTCCAGGCCTAGTTCCCCTCGGCCCACGACTCCCCATCCACCGCCCACCCAGGCCGCCTGAGAAACTTCCCCAGCCACAGGGCCCCAGGAAGAGAGGTTAAAGGCCGGCGCGCAAACACGCCTCCCTTCCTCCGGGCCGTAAAAATGGCCGCACCCGCCAAGCTGGGGCTTCTACTGTCAGGATTCCAAGGCCCCTCACTCCTTCTGCAGCCCCCGCCGCCGCTCCCGGCTGTCTGCCCACCCCGCCCAGGGGCGAATGCATCAGCGGAGGCCTTTGCGACTGTCCGTGTGGACAGGGGTGGGTCTCTGCCGGCGCCTCGCGTCCTCTCCGCAGCAGCTCCAGCCGCGCCGCTCCTCCCCCACGGTGCTGCCGGCTCCCGCCCCCGCCCTGACGCCGCAGCCCCCGGCCCGCTTTCCCCCAGGAACCCGGCTCGGCTCCCGCGCACGGAGCTGGCTCGGCACCTGGGCCACCAACTCGGGGAGCCCGGGGCCCGGGCTCTCCGCAGGGCTGGCCCTCCGCGGCACCGGCTCGGCCTGGACAAGTTTCGCCCCAATGGCCACCACCCGGCCGGGGGCTGACCCGGGGCGGGAGCGCTTCCTTCCCGTCCAGGCCAGTAATGAAAAGGAGAGTCTGTGGCACCACAATTACCTTCAGTAAAATGTTAAAAGTTCACTTGTCTGAGCAGGCCCCAGGATTTTAAACCATAACCAACTAAAGAGGGAAAGTAGAGTGAGGCAGTGCAGTCAGCAATTTCGAAATGATTTGTGGTCTTCGTTCATGTTTAAAGAAGTTTTCAAAAAATGTATCAGAGAAGATTCTATGTATGCTTCACGTGACAGTGTAAAAAAATGCCCTGTAATTTATGTCCTTAGAGACTCAAAAAGTCTCTAGGCCGACTTCACAAGTCAGGCCTATGATTAATTGCAAGTGACTATATCATGTTCATTTTTCTTTTCCTTTGTTCTTTCATTTTTATCATAAAAATAAGATAATGAAAATTTTAAGAAAACAGGAAAGTTAAAAGTAGTCATTCATAGTCCCACCCCTGAAACTGAACTCCTTTAGTGTGTAGTCTTCTAATTGAATATTTTTCTTAAATCTCTCACTATTCATCTTTTTTTAAAAAAATATGCTATATATCAGTGAGAATTATAATGATGCAGAAAAATGTAATTAAGTGCTGTCTTTGGGGGAATGAACTGTTCTAACTAGTTGAATTGTCCTGTTAACAAAGGTATAAGCAGAAAATCTTTTTATTTAAAACTTTTTTTAAATCTTGACCTAAAATGAAATAATAATCTTTCCTGATTTAGTCAAATGATATAAGTATAACTTATTGTAATTTGTTATTTTGTTGCTTGATATTGGACAATCCGTTTGTATGACTGGCATTGGCTCTATGACATAGTCTGCACTGGTGACAGTGTAATACTGAAGTGTGTAGGTAATAACCAGAGGTGGTGATTGGACTCATTTGTAAAGACTTCAAAATTTAGTTTCAAAAACTAATCACTAATTTTAAAATACGTACATGCTGGCTTTGAAAATGGGAGAAGATGCCAGGAGTCAAGGAATGTGGAAGAGGCAAGGAAACTGCTTCTTTCCTAGAGCTTTCAAAAAGCAAAGATGACACCTTGAATTAGCCCAGGAGACAGATGTTGGACTTCTGACCTTTCAGAACTGTAACATAGTAAGTTTTTGTTAAGTTGCTAAGTTAGTAATTTGTTACAGGAACCACAGAAAATTTAAACACATGGACTGGGAAACAAGGTGAAATTATATAAAAGATGTCTTTTAAGCAGGTAAATCAGTGTCTTTCAGAAAAAGTCATTGTTTTATTTTTGTGTTGCTAGTTTCACCTAATCTCTGTGGATCTCCATACTTTCAATTGTTAAAGAGAAGTATGGATTAAATCACCTGTAATGGCTTGTTAAAACTTTTTAAATTGCAATCCTGGGCCAGTCTGAAACTGAAATCAGTTTAGGTATTAAGTTTTGGTGGAGCTTACCACAAGTGACTCCATTTTGGGGTCACTCATTGTTCATTTCATCTGACACAAATGCACATAGCCCTTGAAAAAGTATCAGCCAGACATAACTTAGAGAATCCGCTATTGTCTTCTGAAATTTGCATTTAGTCAAGGTCTACCTAAAGGGTGCTTCTAAGTGTAGTGTTTAAAAGAACATTGTTAATAATTATGTTTTCCCAAAAAGTATGTTAAAAAGTATATTAAAAAGTATATTAACAGAAATGGAAATCACATGGAGGGTTATCAGTGAGGGAGCAGGAGGGAGAAGGGGGGGAAGGTACAGAGAATAAATAGCATAAATGGTAGGTAAAAAATAGGGGGAGGTTAAGAATAGTATAGGAAATGTAGAAGCCAAAGAACTTATATGTATGACCCACAGACATGAACTAAAGGGGGGGAATACAAGTGGGAGGGAATGTGCAGGGCCGAGGGGAATAAAAGGGGGGAAATAGGACAACTGTAATAGCACAATCAATAAATAATACTAAAAAAAAAAGTATATTAAAACTAAAAGTATATTAATAACTCCTAAACTCAACCAGAATAAAAGGAATATGTTTACTGGAGCAATTTTATATATATATATATATATATATATATATATATATATATATATATAATTTTTATTTATTGATTTTACAGAGAGAGAGGAAAGGAGAGAGAAATATCAATTTGTTGTTCCACTTATTTATTCATTCAGTGATTGCTTCTTGAAATGCCCTCGACAGGGATCAAACCTTCAACCCTAATGCATCAGGATGATGTTCTAATCAACTGAGTCATGGGACAGGGCCTATACAGTATTTTAAATCTGGCTAAAATAAAGGAAACCACTGTGATAAAAAGGAAAAACTTGTAGCCATATGCGAGAGAAAGTTTGTTATTATGTATCTGTTACCATTTCAAGTCTTCCTTCTGATCTGAAAATAGGTCAAATTGTTTCACTATTGTAGTCTTCAAAGCCAAGCCTTATATTCACTCCTGGATTGCTGATCCTTTTCAGGCTATCTTTCCTAGGTTTCTACCACAAAGTTACTTAAGGCAAAGACCTTCTCTGGACCCCTCAGAAGATTATATTAGACAGTTTCTAAGGAGTGTGGGATCTAGAATTCTGCGATTTTGAATTTTCCTTGGGAAAGGTTATTTTAAATATGTTGTATTCATTTGTTTATTCATTCAGCAAATAAGTAACCTACTGGGGCAAGACTCTAGACAAAAAGTGCATTGCTGATGGAGGGTAAAACGTGTTCAAAGGCTCTAAAGTAGAAAACAGATGAAGCATTTGGGGAACTGAAAGAAATACAAAGTGGTTGGAGCTTAATTAAGGTGAAAATGCTGCAAGACGAGGCTAGCGAAGTAAGTAGGGAGGGCCCTGATACAAGTTTGCGGTTTTGATTCCTGTCAGGGCACATACAAGACACAACCAAGGAATGTGTAAATAAGTAGAACAAACCTAACTTTCTCAAAATATCTATTCTTCTCTCTCTCTCTCTCTCCCTCTCCCTCTCCCTCTCTCCCTCCTTCCCCATCCCTTCCTCTCTCTAGAGAAAATCCATAAATAGAAAAAAAAATCAAATAAATATATAGTTGTATTACTGAGAAGTGACAGTGGCTAAGGCTAGGTTGGGGTCATTGGAATTGAAAAAAATGAATACATTCAAGATGTATTCAGAAAGTTTTAATTTAAAAAGAGAACCAAGAGCAATTCCTAGTTTTCTGGTTAGTGAAATAGTGTTGAAACTATTCATTGAGCAGAGTCCCAGGAGAGAAGTAGTTTTGGGAAGGATCTCATGCTCATCCTATTCATTGTTTCAGTCCTGTTTTCCTTTGAATTCTGCTTGCATGGGATGATTGTGTAGTCTTAATATTGTTAGTTCTTTGGTCATCATCACCAGTGATCATCCTTTCTTATAGGACCCAGACTGCACAGAAAACTGAGGGTTCTTAATATGGGGCCTTCTGAACACATGTTTCTGGTACAATTTAAATAGGCTACAGCTATGCTGGTGTGTTGCCTACTCTCAAATGTTTGGTATGGTCAAAACATCCTAAAAAGTATAAAAAGTAGAATTACCACTTTATTTTGCAAAAAAAAAAAAAAAGACTAATTCTAGTGGACCGAGGACAGTGGGGGGTCATTGAAGGTACTGGGGTATAGAACTCAGAATATGTGAGGAGACTGAGTTAAAGAAGGATGGACTCTTTCCCATTTTAACAGTAGGAAATAACAAATAGAATGGGTGGGAACAGACGCAGGTAATTTTGGTAAACAAAGGGAATACTTTTCTTGTGTGCTGTATTTCTCTTTGAAATAGGAAATAAGGAATTCTACTGAAAGTGATAGTAAAAGGGTTGGAGAAGTTTGAAATAGTCGTGGTAGACAGCTGGAGAGCATGTTGATTTGATACCCTGGTAGAAAGGCTGGTAATACAAAAGTTCCCTGAGAGGAGGCAGTCATGAAGTTATAATGGAACCAAACTTCTCTCTTGGGTGACTTTCATCAGGGATGTTCACCCTCCTATGATCCAACAAGGAAGGTGGGTAACAGGGTTTACTCAGGATGAAGGTTTTAGGGGAGGGTAGCAGGAACAGGGCAGAAAAGCAAATAAGTAGAACAAACCTAACTTTCTCAAAATATCTATTCTTCTCTCTCTCCCTCTCCCTCTCCCTCTCCCCCTCTCCCTCCTTCCCCCATCCCTTCCTCTCTCTAGAGAAAATCCATAAATAGAAAGATTTAAATAAATACATAGTTGTATTGCTGAGAAGTGACCGTGTCTCAGTGGCTAAGGCTAGGTTGGGGTCATTGGAATTGAAAAAAAAAAATGAATAGATTCAAGATGTATTCAGAAAGTTTTATTTTAAAAAGAGAACCAAGAGCAATTCCTAGTTATGCTCCAAGGTAGTGGAGCATATAATTAAGAAAGAATAAATGAGATAATGTAGCATGGAATCTAAACTAGGTGGGGAGAGAACTAGAGATAGAAAATAAAGGAGTCACATTTTAGGGATTACAATGAGACTGAAAATAGTCATAGTGGGTATGGTTGGAGATGGGATGTTTGAATTACTGAGCCTGCAAGAGAAGTAAGTCTAGAGTTCAACCTAGAACTCTAGGTTGAATTCTAGAGTGGGAACAAAGTGAGGAAAAAGACAGAAGAA